TGAAATATTAAATTTAAGAAACAGTATAAAATGAAGGACGAATTTGGGTGTTATCCTAATATTTTTTTTAGTCATCCAATTTTGTGGATATCATGGAGTGTGACGCTCATTAATTACACACGTTAACCATCACACAATAATTTTCTATTTAAGCACATATAACTTTTAGATAAACAAGTGAAAGACATGACACAAGAGACATAAAATATTTTAAATTTTTTTAAAATATACGATTAATTTTTCGGATCAAATATAAAAAATTGATAATTTAGATTGAACGAGTCATAATTTTTAATTTTATTTTTTCTTATATTAATTAATTAATTAATTAACAGGTTAATTTTAACCAGATTGAAAATTAAAAAAAATATTAATGTATCTCTGTAAAATAATTAATTAAAAATTATTTAAATAAAAAAGATATTTTTAAAATTTAAATTATATTAATAAAATTAATTTTTATTTAAAATATAATAATAAATATATAAATTATAAGATAATAAATCTATTCAATATCAAAATAAAAATAAAAAATTTACTCTTTTTTAACATTTTTTTTAATAATTTATTAATTTAAAATAATAATCAATTTTAATTATTAAATTTTAATAAATAATTGTTAGATAATTATTCTTATGTTTACTAATTTATAATATATAAATTTTTAATAAAATAATATTATTTTTATTTATATTTAAAAAAATTATTATTATTTTATAAAATAGATTAACATATAAATATAAATATAAATTAACTTAACCTAAATTCATATGAATCATTAATTAAATAATCATTGATTTAATTTAAATTATAATTTTTTTATCCGGCTCTTTTTTTTTTTTACTTTTTAAATTAATCTATCAAATTAAGTATATTACACCTAAACATAATAAAAGAAATAATAAATAAGATACGGTCACTACAGTACACAAAAACGACCCACCATCGTACAGGATAATGACCCTACTCGGTGCACAACAATGATCCCACCAAAATCCTGCCACAATGATAATATTATTACAAAGAATAATTTGTTTTACACAATTTTAAAAATAATTTTCCAATTATGTATTTTAAAATTCTTAATTAATTAAGACTAAAATCTTAACAAATTATGATTATATTATGAGATATTAAAAAAAATTATACAAAATAAGAATTTGTTAATAATTATCATATAAGAAATATATTTTATTTAAAAAAAAGGGAAAAAAATGTTCTCTTAATAATTTTTATTTTCTCACTACCAAAAAGATTATATATATGTAACCTGCAGAAGAGGATGTCTTGGGCGAAAATGTGGAAAACAGGAAGCAGAATCTGTGAAGTAAATACGGAAGAGTGTTGATATTTTGACACCCATTTTAAACATCCGTTCGACAACTGAATAAAAAAATATTAAACTTTAGATAGCGGTTAGGAGTGAACCGCTATCTAAAGTGTGTTTTATTAGCGGTTCAGTAATAACCGCTATCTAATGTCATACTTTTAAAGTGCGGTTAGGAGTGAACCGCTATCTAAAGTGCTATTTTTTTCAACCCCACCTTTCTTCATCCTCGCGCTCTTTCTGTCTGCTTTTTTTGCCGCTCTCTTTCTGTCTGCGTTTTTTTGCCGCTCTCTGCGCTCTCATTCTCGCTCTCTGCGCTATCATTCTCGCTCTCTGAGCTCTCATTCTCGCTGTCTGCGTCTTCTATTAAGCTAAAGGTACGTTCTTTGTATTTTCAATCTTTCTGATTCTCTTGCTCACATTGAAGCATATTACATTGTAATATATTTGTGTGTCGCCAAGTTCGCGTTCCAGTCTCCATTCGCCATTGTTGTTGTAGGACGCACTTATTGGGAGTTAGTGCATTATATATTTTTAGGGTTTAGGGTTTAGAGTTTGTCTACATTGTGATCTGAAATTGTGTTTTCTTACTGCATGTTATTTACCCTTAGTCATGAAAATGAGTATATGCTTTGACATAACTTTTATGATATTCATTGTTAGATGATACTCAGATTGTTGTCATGAAATATTTGTATGAATGTGCTCGACCTGTAGTAAACGTCATGACAGTAAATAAATTTTATACTATGAACTCAAATTAAATAGGGTTACATGTATTTGCAGTTTGAAATGGAAAGCATAGACGATGGATCTTCAAATGTTAAGAAGGTGAATGTTGTATCCATTTATATAATATAGGATATTGTTGATGATAATTATAATTATTTAATGTGATTTTCAGGTATATTTGCGACATGTTTGCAGGACTAATTATTTGGGTGAAGTGAATAACATTCTTACTACGGAGCAAAGAAGTCGTATTGAGGCAACACCATTTAGTTGGTTGATGTCATTGGGTAGAAAGGTCAAAATTAGTAGAACATTGCTTAGTGAATTAATAAGTAGATGGGTTGAAAAGAGAGGAGGATTTAATATAAGGTCCGAGATAGTATGCTTTACACTATTAGATGTGTGTTTAGGTTTAGGACTTCGTGTAGTAGGCGAAAATGTCAACATTGTAGAAGGAAACATTGATTGTCATACTAGGAGACTATTTAATGGGAAACATGTTACTTTGGAAATGATTTTTAATGAACTTGTTAAACGTCAAAATGATAAGGATGTCGATGACTTTTGTAGGTTGTACATACTTTTAGGTTTATCAGAGTTTTTATTCCCTAATGAAGTAGGTATCGCACATTGTGGATTTTTTAAGTTAATAGATAATATATCTTGTCTTGGAAAGTATAATTGGGGAAAAGCAGTGTATGAATATCTGGTTGGAAGTTTATGTGAAGCATCGATTTATTTGAAGAAACGAAGAAATTGTTCACACTTCCGTGTTCTAGGATGTGTGTTTTTGTTACAGGTAAATCTTAAATTACGATATAAGTTTTGTTAGAATACTTTCAATATAGTCAGCTGATTTGATATTGTGCATTTTGTTTATATGAATTCAGGTATGGGTTATGGAGCATGTACTTTATAATACCAAATCATGTAATGAGATAAGTCGATTTCCGAGATTTTTACAATGGACCTCTGTTGTAATTGGGGAAAGCAAGATTGTAGTTGCGTTTAATCATAATAGGGTTAGTTCATGAAAAATTTAGTAGAACTTGTTTGCAATATTACTTTACCATATGTCAAAATGTGATTTCAATTTGACATTGTTTGTTACTCATAGGTTATTCATGACTTGTGCGTCAGAAATGAAGAGCTTGCTCATGATATAGTGACAGAAGCATTAGGACATACCACTTATGCATCTGAAGAAGTGAAAAATTTTACTAATATGTTGTGTGGAATTAGTGCTGAGAATCAAATGTTGATTGCCGTAACCAAACAACAGGAATCAACAATTGAAAAACTAGAGGAAGATGTAACACAATTACACGAATTGTTAGATGAAGCAAAACTATCAACAGAAGAAGTAAATCCTCCATCATGTGGGATGTACTTTTCTCCAGTATTTGAAGGTAGTAGTATTAAAGAGATGAAGCATCATGTTGAAGCAACAGAAGAATCAAAGTTGCATTTTGAAGGGTCAAATATGTATACGCGACTTAAAGGTCATCCAAGAATAAGGTATAAAAGTTTTATGGTCAAAACACCGTGGACGACTAATTCAAGGAAAAGAAAAAAGGCGACATAAGTGTTGTGTAGATGAATTATTTTGTTAGGTTTTGTTGTAATTGTAATTTATATTTGATGCAGACCTTTATGATGTAATTTTTGTGGCCTGTGATAATGTTATATTGTACATTACTTTTTATCTCATTGTGCATTTAATGATATATAGTCAAGTGGTTAAGCATATAATGTGGGCTATACAAATTTAGCACATAATTAACACAAAAATGTCATGTTCAGTTAAGCACATTTTGTTAGATTAATTTGAAATATACCCTGAAATTGTGGTGTATCAGGTACAAATTATGAGAAAATAAAATTGGAATTTCCAAATTTAAATATTTTTTTTTAAATTGGGACTTAAGATAGCGGTTCTAGACCGAACCGCTATTAAAAGTATATTTTAAATAGCGGTTTGACTTTCACCGCTCTTAAAAGTGACAAATATCGCTCGAGCGAGATTATATTCGCTCAAGCGAAACACAACCCGAGAATCCCCATTCTATTAGGTGTTTTCGCTCGAGCGATGATAAAGTCGCTTGAGCGACTTCAGAAAAATGAGAGAATATGATCGATTATTATAGCTTATAGTCGATTATTCACAGACCTTAGACAGCGGTTAACGTTTAACCGCTATCTAATATATATTTTTAAAAGCGGTTCTTATTAACCGCTATGTAAGGTCGCTTCAGGTTCAGTCGCGCTCAAGCGAATCTGTAATCGCTTGAGCGACAGTTAAATGTTATATGTGGTGAACCAAGATTTATTAGATGGCTAACTGTGTAGGACGTTTCGTCTGTCATTCACCAGTCGCTCAAGCGACTGTATCTTTGCATGATGTAAGTAGGTAAACTAGTGTATTGTAATATGAATATAATTTAAAGGAGATGGTTGCTATTATATTATTGTCAATGGTAGGAACTGTATCCTTCATCGTTTATCTAGCATGGGAGATATAAATGAAAACAGAGATGTAGCTGTCATGTTAACAATGTTTCAATGACTTACTGACGTTTCAATCGATTAAAACACGTTTCAATCGATTAAAATCACTTGAAGGGTCAGGATGATCGATTAGAAGACAATTATGACCGATCAGAGTCAGTTATGATCGATCAGAATTTAGTTATGACCGATCAGAACTCTTTTAATCGATTAAATCTCGTTTCAATCGATTAAAAAAACTTTGAAATTTTCTGTACAGAGTTTTAATCGATTAAAACTTATTTTTATCAGTTAAAATAACTTGAAAAGTTTTTAAGAAAGTTTTGCTGTATTTCAATCGATTGAATCGCGAAACAATCCAGAGACTACAAGACCTTCACCTCAATCTCCACCGGTTCCCACTGAAAACAAAGCATTACCTAAGGTAGATCATTTATCTCTCAACACTCCTTCCAGTTTGCCATAAACCTTCTTGGCTAACTGTTGACATCATCTTCAATCTCAGACTATTGGGATTGGAGCAAGAGTGGAATGGAAGAAAGCTGTCCTTATCTTCTCCTCCAACCGGTATCTCCTCCCTGATCGAATATTATGATCGATTATTATCCAATTATAGTCGATCACTTTGACATATATGACTTTAGATAGCGGTTATTTGACCAACCGCTATCTAAACTACACATTATGATCGATTATTATCCAATTATAGTCGATCACTTTGACATATATAACTTTAGATAGCGGTTATTTGGCCAACCGCTATCTCAACTATACATTATGATCGATTATTATCCAATTATAGTCGATTACTTTACATATATTACTTTAGATAGCGGTTATTTGGCCAACCGCTATCTGAACGATACTTTAGATAGCGGTTCATAGCGAACCGCTATCTAATATATATTTTTAAAAGCGGTTCTAATTAACCGCTATCTAAGGTCGCTATCTCCTCCTTCCCCATCTCTGTTTGGGTACTTGAAGAAGTCGCTGCGCTTGGAGCTTTTTCTTTTGCCAGTCATGGTATATGTTTATGACTATTGAGATAGTCAACAGTGAACGAAAACAGAGAACAGAGAATCTGTGAGTAATTAGAAAGCAAAGAATACATTAACCTCGATGATTGTTGTATGCTTCTTCTTTACAATGCAAACGAATTCAAAACCGTAATAAACAACCAAATTAAACCCTAAACGAAATGAATAGAACCGAATATTTAAACATAGACAAAGCGAGAGCGAGAGGAAGAACAGCCAGACGGAGAAGACAAGCGAGAGCGAGAGGAAGAACAAGAGCGAGGGGAAGAAGAAATATTTCACTTTTTACCATTACATCCCCCATTTTTACAATATTACATCTCTACCCCTCTACAATTTAACTAGTCACACCCTTATTTTTAATTAATTTCTTTTTAACCCCGGTTGTCGAACGGATGTTTGTTTTCAGTTGTCAAAGAATCGTTTTCCAATACGGAAACTACAAATCCGCCAACTACCCTGTTTGTTTGCACGTGTCGAATGCTCTTAATTTTTTTAATGTTGCGAGAGTGACTCTCTAGTCTAAAGTCTAAAACTAAACAAACCGAAGCCATAAAGCACGGCCTATATGGCTAATTCTACACCTCACAACTTGGTCAGCAAGCTCATCATATGACTCTCTCAAGTCATCCTCCACTTCAATGCTTATTGGTCCATCGCTTACCATTTTTCCTTACCAAAATCACTCAAAAAGTAGCAAGCTATGATTAGGTAGTTTCCCACCAATTTCACTGCATTCCTGTCTTGTTTATAAGAACAATTGCCCACCCAAAACACCAACTACCACCATTTTCAACCATGTCCTGCTTCTGGTGCTCTAACTTGGTCCGTTTGCACCTCACCTGGCCTGTAGTAACCAATGCTGCCACTTGGACAACACTTCTATCGTTGACGGTGGCAGTGGCCTCTGTCTCACCACAGGTGGCGTTTGTCTCCGCCATATCCCCCTCTTCTTCGTTCTCTCAGAAGTGCAGCACTAGTGGGTCCATTAGAATGCCCTTGGATGTTCCAGGAGACATCCTGTGTTTTCCTCCTCGTATGTTTGGAAGTCCAAGATTGATCTAATCGTTCCACCCGTCTTTGCAGCCAGTGGCGGATCTTCTTGGGAGCTGAGGGGGCCGTGGCCCCCCCAAAGTTTTATAACTCCCATGTAATATATGATTTTGGCCCCCCAAACTTAATTAACATTTAATATATTTACTTGTATATTTACCATCTTATCCTCTCAGCCTCTCCTCAGTTTTGTAACTCTCATATCATTTATGATTTTGTCTCTCTCTAACTTAATGATCATTTAATATATTTACGTATATATTTACAATGTTATCCTTTTACCTTTTCATCTTCTTTCTTCCTTTTATATTTATTTATTATTTATTAATAATATATTATTTGGCCCCCCAAGATCAATGGTCAAGATCCGCCACTGTTTGCAGCAGCAATTGTAGCGGCTTCTGCTTGCGTGGTGCGAGCTGTGGGCTTGTGGGAGCATGATCAAACTCGTTGAGATGCAAGTTAACCGGGTATTCCTCTTAGAATCAGATTATAATTCGAGATGGGTCATATCTATCTGACAAATAATTGACAAAAATCGATTTTGTCAAGTGAAATTTGACCCAGATCATAGGGTTTCCAGATAGATTATGTGATCATTTCTTGCTGGGAAGAGCTTCTGAGAAATTGAGCTAAACTGGTTGATTCTGTATATATGCGATTATTGGTCTTTGTAAATCCAAACAACGATTTAGTTAAATATCAGCAATGATGTGTTCGTAATAGATTTCGGCATTTATATGTCCTTCGGTATGCTGATCATCTGGGGACTTAGATTTTAGGACAATGATCAATCTTATTTTACAGTTAAAATTAATTTTTCATTCAACACTAACAATGTAATAAGTAGTTCGATAGCTGCTATTTTCATTTCAAGAAATAAAGTTGACAAAGATAGCTGTCTGCAAATGAAATGCTGTATTTCTGTATTTTGTCTGGTTGTTAGGAAGTCCAATATCCATCCACATACGAGATCATAGGTCCTCGCAATGACTATCACTCATTAATAATTATTACGTAATATTAATTTTGCAACTCATCTTCACTGATTCTAATATACGCTCACCTAAAATATTTTATTTATATATATTCACTTCATATGAAATAATTTATTATATTTCACTTAATATATATATATATATATATATATATATATATTTGTTATTATATATAGTTTTCTCTCGTGTATATATCATTTATATTTTTTTTATTTCTCTGTTTTTAAATATTTTCTTACAAGTAATCTAAAATAAAACACTATTTTTTTAAATTATACTTCAAAATAATTTAAAATTTTATTTTAAATAATAATATAATTTAATCTAGATCTATATAAAATTTGTATTTAAATAAGTAAATCTTCAAATATATTTTAAATTAAGATAGATATTTCAAAATTTATAAACAGTAATGTTGAACCAATAATTTATTAATTAATATTAAAAAATGTTGATTACATGAACATTGATACAATAATTTATTAAATATGAAAAAAAAATTATTATTTATTGAAAATATTAAATTATATTATCTAATTAACTAGATAAATTATTTACAAATTTTAAAATATTAATTTTAGTTTAAAATTATTTAAAATATATTAAAATATTTATTTTTTATTTAAAAAAAATATTTTGTTTAAATATAAACTAAATTATTCTATTATTTAAAATAAACTCAAGAATATATTTTAAATTATTTTGAAGTATAATTATTAAAAAAATATTTTTTTATTTATTGGTTACTTGTGAAAAATTAGTTATAAGAGAATTTTAGAAAGAATAAGTGTAGGTGAAATGAAAAAAAAACTTAATGAGTTATGATATCTTAAGCGAATGTATGTAAATAAAACGTTCTAAATATCTATTTATGGAAGAATGGCTCCATCACCTCGTAACAATGTTATACCAATAAAAAACTTTTATACTATATATTTATTTGCATTCTTAAGACCTATGTGTTTTAACGAATTATCTAATGAAAATAATTATTCTTAAATAAAAAAATTTAGAATTATTTTTATCTTAATATTATATACGTTCCTAATTTTGAATTTAATTTTATTTAATAATCAGTAAAAAAAACAAAAACTTTTTTACTTTTTCAATTCTTAACTTTTGTTTTATCTTTTTTAAATATATATATATATATATATATATACAAATATATTATTAAATACTTATTTATTTAGATTAGTATCGAATTATTTTTATTACTAATGGATATGAGAAACACTCTCCATACAATAATATTAATTCTGATATGATCCTTAAATATTTTTGAAGAAATTTTTATTAATGAAATACTAGTCAAATTTTGAGGATTTTTTCATGAATAAAACACAAGTCAATTTTTATGAGCTTTTATCATTTATAAATTATTTAATTTTCACATATTTATCTAACATTTGATTTTAATTTACAATTAGATTTTAATATTTATAATAAAATTTAATTATATAATAATAGAAAATTAATTTATACATTGCATAAACTAAATATTCCCAATAATACAGTTAACATAAAAGATAGAATTCATGAGGTAGTAATTCTCCCCCTCAACTAAAAAGCAAGACGAATTCAAGAATGATACGTAACCAACAAATTATAAGATGGAAAAGGTTATTATAATGACACAAAACATATAAAACTAGTATCAAATGACTTTTTTAATATGTGATGACAGAGAATGACTGAAAGGAAATACTATCTCCAATTCTATCATGGAACTACTAACATGATAACCACTAGAGGTCGCACACATATAGATTATGGTATAAACTTATGCTAATAAATTAAAAAAATAATAATAATAGTAGCTACTCAACTAACTTATGGATAGTTCAGGATGAGATTTTGGATGAAGTGAAGGGTTTGATACAAAAACCTTTTGATGCAAAGAAATGCAGCATTGCATAGGGAATGAAATGTTTGAAAACATCCTCAGAAAACGACAAATTGTAACTAAATATAACTATAACATGCTTCGTATTGCATGAGGAGCTACATTTTCATGGAGGACAACACCGAGCTGCAAGTGCAATCAAGCTTTTGAAATTGATTTGATCAACTCGTTACTGAAATCCCAGAGTTTCTTCGCTAGATGTTTGTTTCTTGCATGCGCACTTGGTTTGTATTGATTGCAATCCTCAAAGTACTTCCCAGTTACACCTTTCACGCTTGGGTGGAGAGCAACATAGCATGTCGTGGCTGCTCCCTGGATTTTTATGTTCCAAGAAATTAAACAATGATCAGTGACAATATATTTAGACTTCTGAGCCGTTTCAAATGTAACATTCTGCACCACCTATATTGGAATTCAAAATGGATTGAAAAGAACATACCTGGGGGACGTTCTGTAAAATATGATGTAGTTTTCCTACGTTCTTAATTCATTATGGAAATCTACTCTACAGGATCATTAGATTATTAATTTTCACAACATAACATACATGAATCATAATAAGAGAACTAACCTTGATCCATGAAAATCTATTCTTTAATCTTCTCGTTCTCCAATCTCCTTTTCCCAATTTATCTCTTTGTCTTTCTTTCTCTTCTCACGCTTTTTTGATGATTTACCGTGAAAAACTTTATGATCAGAGACAAAACCCTTATTTCATTTTATTAACCAACGTCCATCAAGTTGGTTACCGTAAGTTAATATTTTTATTTTATCTTTATTTTATTCTAACTTCACATAATAACCAATAGGTCCTCATATTTTATTAAATCACATTTAGGCCCATTATTATATTTCACATGAGTCACATAATGGAATGAATTAATTAAATTAATTCTAACATTCTCCCACTTGACTCATGTGATGTCATACGATTCTGTGATTTAATACTTAAGTCATAATGCACATTAAAGGACCTTACATAAATTGGTTCTATCATCATTCATAATTAAAGATAGAGCTATAACAAGAGTCATGGCGGTTACATGTCATTCAATCGACAGACTCCCTTCCATGTACCACTATATTATCTCTTTCTCCTTAATATGAATTTATAATGAGAAGTTCATAATGGGTTCAAACATAATATCATTTTAATAATAATAACATAATTTGTTTTCTTCATCATAATTTGCATGCATATAAATAAAGAAGAAAACACAAATTTCAGAAACTTATACATTAAAGATCTCAGAGTGTCACATAAGCATTAATAATAACATTAACATTCAACATTCACTAGTGAACATAATGCCCACATTCATTATATGACCAGCAAATAATTTGGGCGATAATCCCTTTGTTAAATGATCAACAATCATAAGATCAGTGCTAGTATGTTCTATTGACACTCTACGTTTCTGAACTTCTTCTTTAACGACAAAGTATTTCAATTCCATATGCTTAGCACCTTTGGAATACTTGTCGTTCTTAGAAAAGAAGACTGCTGCGGAATTGTCACAATAAATTTTCAGCGGCTTGGCAATGCTGTCGACTACTCCAAGTCCTGAAATAAAATTCCGCAACCAATTAGCTTGAACTGTGGCCTCAAAGCATGCCACAAATTCAGCTTCCATGGTGGATGCAGCAATGACAGACTGCTTCGCACTTTTCCATGAAATCGCTCCTCCGCCTAAAAGATACACATAACCAAATGTAGACTTTCATGTATCCATACAACCAACAAAATCTGAATCTGTATATCCAATCACCTCAAGGTGATCAACTTTCCTATAAGTAAGCATGTGATTCTTTGTTCCTTGTAAGTATCTTAAGACTTTCTTTGCAGCCTTCCAATGATCCAATCCAGGATTACTCTGGTATCTACCCAGCATACCAACTGCAAAACTAATATCTGGTCTCGTACATTTTTGAGCATACATCAAACTCCCAACAACAGATGCATAAGGGATATTTTTCATCTGTTTCCGTTCCAAGTCATTCTTTGGACATTTCATGAGACTAAACTTGTCTCCTTTCTGTATTGGAACGGGAGATGCTGAACACTTCTCCATTCTGAATCTCTCTAAAACTTTATTAATATAAGCTTTCTGAGACAAACCTAACAGTCCTTGTGATCTATCACGAAATATTTCTATTCCTATCACATAGTATGCCTCACCCATATCTTTCATTTCAAAGTTGTTAGAGAGAAACTTCTTAGTCTCACTTAATAGACCAAGATCATTAGTCACAAGCAAGATATCATCAATATACAAAATCAGAAATATAAATTTGCTCCCACTGACCTTCAGATATATACACCGATCAACAGTATTTTCCTTAAATCCAAAAGACATAATAGTATTATTGAACTTAATATACCATTATTCAGAAGCTTGTTTAAGTCCATATATTGATTTCTTAAGTTTACACACCATATGTTCATTTCCTTCTTCAATAAACCCCAATGGTTGATTCATATAAACATCCTCCTCTAAATCTCCATTCAGAAAAGTAGGTTTATCATCTATTTGATGCAACTCAAGATCATAATGAGCTACTAATGCCATGATAATTCTAAAAGAATCTTTCTTAGAAACAGGTGAAAATGTTTCCTTATAATCAATGTCATCTTTCTGAGTAAAACCTTTGACAACAAGACGGACCTTGTAACATTCGATATTGCCATGAGAGTCACGCTTAGTCTTAAAGACCCATTTACATCCAACACTTTTGCATCATTCTAGAAATTCCACAAGATCCCATACATCATTATGTGCCATTGATTTAAGCTCATCTTTCATAGCGTCTAACCATTTGTCATAATTATCACCATTAATGGCGTCTGAAAATGAAATTTGGTCATTATCAATACTTAGGTCATTTTCTGACTCTTGTAGATAAACCATGTAATCATTTGAAATAACAGACTTTCTTTCTTTGTGAGACCTTCTTAATACTATTTCTTGTGATTGTTCTATTATCAGTTCGTTGTTAATCTCGAGATCATTAATTTGTTGTTCTTCTTTATTGTTGTGTGATTTTACAACATTTGGAACAACAACTCTTGAAGATGTACTAGTTATTGGAACTTGTACTCTAACTTCCTTAATCTCCACATTTCGTGAAGCTTCACTCCCACTGGCTTCACCATTTTCAATGAACCGAGCATTTCCAGTTTCAACAATTCTTGTACTATGGGTAGGAAGTAAAACATATACCCTTTTGATTTTTCTGGATAATCAATGAAATATCCACTGATTGTTCTTGCATCCAGTTTCTTTTCTTGTGGATTATAAATTTTTACTTCTGCCTGACAACCCCAAACATGTAGGTGTCTCATACTGGGTTTCCTACTTGTCCATAACTCAAAAGGAGTCTTTTGAACCGCTTTACTAGGAACCCCTGTTCAACAAATACATGGCAGTCTTCAAAGCATACATCCACAACGATACAGGTAAACATAAATTACTTAACATACTCCTAACCATATCAAATCATAGAAGTACGCTTAAACAAACTGAAACAACCATTCCCAAACTTAAAAGAGTATCCAGCAACATCAAGCTTAGATAAAGAAACTAAATTTCTAATGATACTAGGTACATAAAAAGTATCCATAAGGTCTAAGTGATATCCAGTGTCAAGGATTAAACGATAAGTCCTGATAGCTTCCACTGGAACCTTGACTTTATTTCCCATGAAGACGAACTTCTCATTTGGGTTTATGGTTCGGGTTGAAAGGAATCCTTGCATTACATTAGAAACATGAGTCGTACATCCAGAATTAATCCACCAAGTATTATGGGGAACTTCAGTTAAATTTGATTCAAAACATACATAAGCACTATGCTCACCTTTCTTTTCGAACCAAGCTTTACGCTTTAAGCAGTCCTTTTGAAAATGTCCAGACTTATCACAGAAATGACATTTTTCATTTTTCTTCTGAATGTTAATAGATGACTCGTTAATCTTTAATGGTCCTTTACCCTTTCCATGTTCTTAACAACTTTATTTTTAACTCCTTGATTTTTCATGTAATGAATAGAGTGACTTCTTAGGTTCTTGAGTCTGGTCTCTTCCTGGACTACATACTGTACAATTCATGCACATTCCATTTGTCTTTCATGGTGTTATAGTTCATCTGGAACGAACCATACTCAGGCGGTAACGAGTTCAAAATGAACTGCACAAGAAAATTTTCTTCTACTGTCATTCCAAGAGACTTGAGTCTTGCTGTGATATTTGTTATTTCAATTACGTGTTCATGTATACTACGAAAACCATCAAACTTCATGGTGGTCAACGTACTCATCAATGTCCCAGCGAGAGATTTGTCAGCAGTTTGAGAGCGCTCTTCCACAAATTTCATAAATTCTTTCACGTCCTTAGTTTTGGACAAAACATACTTAATATTGCTTGCTATACTCATTCGCATAAACATAAGACTAAGTCTGTTTGACATTTTCCAAACTCTATAATGAGTTTTCTCTTTGTTGCTACTAGCATTAGTAATAACAACCATTTTTTCAACTTGGAAAGCCAAATCAAAATCCAACTCACCTAAGTGAAATTGGACTTTCTCACTCCAGTCAGGGAATTTAATCTATTAAAGACTGGAACAGACAAAGTAAGCGAATGTAGAAATACATAAACAAATACTTCAATTAACACATGCCTAACATTAACGCTTTGAGTCATAAAAACTAAACATAAATACAAATTCAAACATAAATAATCATTCTATGCATACTAATGTTCTCCTTTGGGAGATCCACTAATACACAAACATAATTACGCTAATATTTTTATAACATTAATGATAAGTAAAATATGCATCAACTAGAATCACTTAACACCTTTGAGTATATAAATAAAACTAGTGACGCACACAAAATTATCTACTTTCATGTTCATTAATTATAATAACAACTAATCAACCTTTGGGTGATCCTAAAATGCCTTATAATAATGAACTTCAATTAACCCATAAATCATTATTCATAATTTTAGCGTTCATACCATGGGTAATTGAAATAAAATCATTAATAATTTGAAATCAAAATAACCTTAAAATTTTGGCCACTTTAGTGACTAACAAAATTTATCATGCTTAATTTCAAATAAATAACATCTTTAATTGCTATTAAACATTCATAGCATTTTTTTTATTAATTTTAATAAATATGTATATTATTCACATAATAAAATATTATGTGCCATAAATAAAATTGAAACTCATAATTTCAATTTTCATCCTAAGATTGATTTTCAATCCAAGACCTTTATTTGCATTTCACATAAAAGTGAAATTGTCATCCATTCAAAACTTTTATGAGTAATTTAAACACAGCGGCGAAAACTTCATAATTCAGTTTGCAAAACAAAATTCATTCATTTATCAATGTTTACATTACAGGTACATTAACAAAGTTTTACAGAACATTAACAAAGTACCCTTAACAAAGTACCCTTAACAAAGTACCCTTAACAAAGTACCATTCACAAAGTACCATTCACAAAGTACCATTCACAAAGTACCCTTCACAAAGTACCCTTCACAAAGTACCCTTCACAGTACACGTGACAAAGCTTCACAGTACCCTAACAAAGCTTCACAAAGCTTCACAGTACCCTAACAAAGCTTCACAGTACCTTAACAAAGCTTCACAGTACCCTTAACAAAGCTTTCAGTACCCTTAACAAAGCTTTCAGTACCCTTAACAAAGCTTTCAGGTACCTTAACAAAGCTTCACGAGTACCCTTAACAAAGCTTCACGAGTACCCTTAACAAAAAACTAACTCTTTAATTATCCTTCACTAAAAAAAATATGTACTTACAAAAGAATATTATAAATAATATAATATAATATATGAAACATGTGTGTTTAACACGTGCTCTCTAAGTGCAAAGTTTATCAACTTTACAGTTTACCATTCTTCCATCATAATTATAACATTTCATCATAATATCTCATCATAATTATAACATACAATAAAACTAATTTCATACATGATTCACCCTAATCCTATCACATCATTTGTCTTTTCAATTAAAATCAATTACGGTTTCATTCACGCATAGGGGCTATAAAATTGGTTTCAATTTGAACTTGAAAGCATAATTAGGGTTTATTCCTTTATTTAATTTTGAGAAAAATAAATTTGAGAATAAATTAGGGTTCATATTAATCTGATAGAGAAATCCCTAAATTCATAATTAGGGTTTATCTTAATTTGGGAAAAACTTAATATTTGGGAAAACTTTCATACAAGGAAAATCATAAATCTAATAATCAGTGCTCTGATACCACATGTAAAATATGATGTAATTTTCCTACGTTCTTAATTCATTATGGAAAACTACTCTACAGGATCTTTAGATTATTAATTTTCACAACATAACATACATGAATCATAATAAGAGAACTAACCTTGATCCATGAAAATCTATTCTTTAATCTTCTCGTTCTCCAATCTCCTTTTCCCAATTTATCTCTTTGTCTTTCTTTCTCTTCTCACGCTTTTTTGATGGTTTACCGTGAAAAACTTTATGATCAGAGACAAAACCCTTATTTCATTTTATTAACCAACGTCCATCAAGTTGGTTACCGTAAGTTAATATTTTTATTTTATCTTTATTTTATTCTAACTTCACATAATAACCAATAAGTCCTCATATTTTATTAAATCACATTTAGGCCCATTATTATATTTCACGTGAGTCATATAATGGAATGAATTAATTAAATTAATTCTAACACGTTCTTCCATATATAAATGGTGAAGATCTTCAGGAAGTCTGCGAAAAATCGTGTTAAAATGGAGTAACTATAAAAACTGCATCATCTACTTGTGTTGTTTTGTTTCTGTGTTTGAGGAGAATTAACATACGCATAAGGTAAGAAGAATGTCTCATAAGAGGTGTCATTATCACTCCTGGATGGACCGAGTTCGCTGTGATGTTCACACCCTCATCCTGCACATATACACATTATTGAGTACACTTTATACTATTAACTAAAAGAATATGAACTAAAATTTATTGAACATATCCAATTTTTTTAGTTTTACCTCTTATTAATGGTTCTCACTCATTATCTTATAGTTCTTAATAATTTCTTTTACTGTCGTCTCTCTCGTCCTCTTGTGACATTATCACTCTGATGCTTTGTTTATTTACTTTATATTTTCCACATTGTAGTTTACAGATAAGGTCAGAGAAGCAGAGGACTAAATGGATGACCTGAAGGCGACGAGAAAGCTCATTTGTATGCAATATGTTAGCTAACTTGGACTGTCCATACGCCTTCTTGTTACCATAACTGAAAATTTAAAGCAATAGTAGCAAAAAAAGAAGAAGTGAAGTTCTAGTGATCAAAATCAAAGTCATGATGCAGTAATTTCGGGCCAGAAGCAATTGGAGTCAAACTGAAAATACCCTTTTTGCTCATTGATCTTATTGAATCTAATCCCGTTTCTGTAAGTGTAGTTATGGGCAATTGATGACAGATTAATGATCCTTCCCTCTATTCCAGTGGCTTGTGCAGTTTGTTTCATTTTTTCAAGAAGCAGGTTGGTCAATAGGAAATGACCTGAGATGTCACAAAAAGATCAGAAAATACAATACTTCCACTATCACTAAGACGTAAACCAAAAAATATCAAGCAAGAATGCTGAAACTTTACCAAGATGGTTTGTTGCAAATTGCATCTCAATCCCATCCTCTGAGAGTTTGAAGGGGCAGAACATTACTCCAGCATTGTTTCTGACATGAAAAGCTAATGATATGATCCATTCTTGGAAAATGACTAACTCAAAGATAACAAATTTGAGTATATATAAGATAGAAGATGGTTACTAAAAGAAAGTTGAATAGAAAGTGTGATGTAAAATTCAAAGGAAAACCAACGTCACGATATTGAGGGGAAGATCAAGAGCTAAGAAATTGTCGACGAAGGATGTAACTGAACTGAGTGAGCACAAATCGAGCTTCATTATGTCGACTCGTGCAGACTCATTCTCCTCTAGTATACGTTGTTTAGCTTCTTTTGCAGACACCATGTTTCGTACTGCAATGATCACATGAACCTTTCTAAGTGCCAACACTAGCGTTGTCTCCAACCCAATACCACTTGCTCCTCCTGAGTCAGGGTTACTTTTTTAGTTCTTAATTAGTACAACACAAATCAACAATATATATATCTTATTAAGACCATCTACCAAGTAAGAATAAAAATAAATATTTTATGAATATCTTATCTATGAATTACTTTAAATATTATTTATACAATTATTCACACTAAAAATATTATTTTAATATTGTTATCATAAGAGCAAATTTAATTCAAGCACATGAATCTACATTTAAATTCAACCTGTTTATAAATTATTATTAAATTTGGATATGGATTATATTTTAAAAAATCAACCTTTCATCAGGTCAACTTAATTTTCTTTAATTCATCCACCACCTAATCGATCAATATTTTCTTTTACTTTCTAAAACACGTAACTTAGTAGTATCTTAGGAAGCATTTTACCTTAAAATTATCTTTGAGAAATATGAATTTTATTAAAATATAAAAAATTAAACATAATATCATAAATACCATTATTTTTATTCAATAATTAAAATCAAAAACCATTTTTGAGACAACATAAATTTGTTTAAATAGTTATAATAATAACAACTTAAAATTTGTTCCAAACACGAAAGTTAATAACATTTAATGTTAAACAAATTTAATTCATTAATTATCTCTCAACACACAGTAGTGGTACAAAAATTACAATATTCAATGCTCTCTCCCTATTATGCGATAAGTGCTCCTCCAAGAAAGAAAACTAAACAACTTCTCATAATTTATTAAATATCTATTTAGTTTTTCATTTTATTTTTATTCTATTTTTTCTTATATTTATGATTCTTCATTTTTGAATGAATTGGTGCATCTGAATTGCGACGTATACCAAACTATTTTTACTGTAGCAAAAGAGATGTTTTTGGGGTGTAAGTATGATGCCAAAATAGTTTATTGGATAATGATATTTTAACAACTTTTTCATACGTCAATTCTCTTTTGGTTGTGGATCTATTATTATTCTTGTTTGCATCATTTACAGGTTGGACAGTACAATGCAATGAACTGAAGTGAAGAGAGTTGGTTTTGTTTTGTTTTCCCTTGAGGGAAGGTAAATGGACCACACAGCAGAATACCAGCCCCAAAAACTTTCTCACTCAAACTGACATAAATTCACCCTGTTACTGTCATTTTCACTTGCCCTACTTTCGTTGAATCTATCAATTTGATGTCATATTACATATTATTTATACTTATAAAAAATAAGTAAATAAAATCACACCCTCGAGATGGTCACCATGTTTACCTAGCTTATAAGGAACTTTTGTATAAAAATAATGAAAAGATAATGAATGAGATTTTCTAATTTTTTTTATATGAAAATAATAATAATAATAAATGAGATATTTTTTAAAATAATATTTATTTACTCTTACTTAATAAGTATTGTTTATTATATATTTGGTAATTTTTTTTAAAATATATTATAAATAATGAAAATATTTGTTGAGAATTAAAACTGAATATTTTGCTCACTTTATTATTGTCAATATTAATGAAAGGAGAAAAAAAATGTAATATATAATATGCATGATAAAATGAAAAAAAAAATTATGGAGTTTTAAGATGGGAACACTCAAATTAGTCAAACTTTAAATATTACATAGATATTCAAAGTATTAGTATCTTTAAATGTAAATGAGTTTTCTGTGCTCCCTCTTATGGAGTAGTTTTCTTATAAGGGCGTCCTCGGATGCCTTAAGCTTTATTTACTAAAAGATTTGATAATCATTTAAAGGCTTAAATAATTTTTGTACAACTTTATTTTGTGTTCATATAAGCTTATGAGGAGATGTCTAACCGGCTCTGCCAGATTCAGTCATCTCATAATCTTATCATGGACTTTGTGTGTTTATTTTTCCCGTCTTTACTTTTCTGCATTTAATTTCGTTCATGTATAAGCTTATGTGGAGATTTTACGTATCCCATTAGTTTGTAACACAAAACAACTAATAACTATTAAAATATTAGTTAAATTAAACTTTCCTCAGAAAGACAAATATCCTGCCAAAGAGGCTATAGTCCAAACTCTCTTAGATACAGGATGTTCTGAAACAGTTGTTTGCAGAACGAAAATACCCACATACATGATTACCAAAAGTAAGCATGTACAAAAAACCAGAACGATGTCTGGTCAAATAATGATAAATGATGAAGAGATAAGGAATATCTCTCTTCAATTTAGCACAAATTGTGACCTGTTTGGTCAGAAAATACACATCAAAACCATGAGAGTGGAAAATTTAGTCCCCTCCAAACAAAATATGATTATTGGTTTAGATTTTATCCTAGGCCAAGATCGAACTATCACTATAAACAAAGATTATGTTATAATTAGTGATAGAACACAAATGTCTCCCATAATTAGCGGCGACAACCCAAAATACATAGAACAACCTATGGATGGATGTTCTTGTAATAACTCTAAATCCTCTGACATATGTGATTGTCTAGAACAAGATTTAGAAAATATAGATTATTTCTACACAAATGATATCATGGAATCTTTTTCTTCCATAAAGATATAAAAAATAATCACGTTTGACAACATCCAACAGATACTGGATAGGTTAAACAAAACAAGCATAATAGGAGAAGACCCTACGAAGTTTTGGGATCGTGACCCTGTTATGTGTAAACTTAATATAATTAATCCTGATTTGATTATAAAAACAAAAGACATACAGTTTAACAACTGGGAACAAGAGGAATGTCGATTGCATATTGACAATCTCTTGAAATTGAAAGTAATAACTCCTAGTGAGAGTCCCCATAGGAGTCCTGCTTTCATGGTAAACAAAGCTTCAGAGCAAAAAAGAGGTAAATCAAGGATGATTTACAATTACAAAAGACTTAATGATAACACAGTCGAAGATGAATATACTATTCCATCTAAAGATATTTTAATAAACCGCATACAAAATGCAAGATGGTTTTCAAAATTTGACTTAAAGAGTGGGTTCCACCAGGTTAAAATGGATCCTGACTCTATAAAATGGACAGCTTTCTCCTGTTCAGAAGGATTATATGAATGGCATGTTATGCCTTTCGGTCTTAAAAATGCACTCGCCATTTTTCAAAGAAAAATGGACAACATTTTTAAGGACTTTAAATCCTTTACTTGCGTCTATATAGACAATATACTTGTTTTTTCCAAAACTAAAGAAGAACATTTTCTTCATTTAAAACAAGTATTATATAAATTAGAACACTATGGGTTAATAGTGTCTAAAAGCAAAATGGAAATCTGTAAAAGGTTTATAGAATTCCTAGGAACAGAAATAGGGAACGGAACCATAAAACTCCAACCCCATATTTCTAAGAAAATCCAAGATTTTCCTGATAAAATGGAGGATATTAAAACATTAAGATCCTTTTTAGGACTCTTAAATTACGCCCGAAATTTTATTCCAAATTTGGGTAAATATACATCTCCTTTATACAACAAGACTTCTATTAAAGGAGAAAGAAAATTTAATTCTGAAGACATAAGATCGGTTCAGAATATAAAACAAATGGTAAATCAATTACCAATTTTACAATTACCATTAGACTCTGATTATTTGATAATTGAGTGTGATGGAAGCGAATTAGGATGGGGAGCCATCCTAAAACGCAAGTGATCGATGTCGTACTTGGTCAAATAATTAAAACAAATAAATGTAGTACTAGGAAGCTTTCCTAGGTCGTCTCCCAAAGACCACAAATTTCTATCAAAGTTTATCAATTTTTAAATTTAGAACAGTAACAAAAAAAAGGAGTTTTTCAAAATTAAAATATTAGATGAAACAGAACAAAAACAGATTATAAAAATGC